AGTGCAACAACAGTGCCCTCCGTGGTTTCAGTGTCACATTTTGAAATAAACTGCCTTACCGCTTTTCTTTTTTTTTCTCCCCTCAGGGTGTCATCCTCATCCACGGGGCTCGAATCGGCTACTTTCAAGGGGACATTAGACTCTTAATGGATGATCTGAAAACACTGCAGCCAACAGTTTTCCCCGTCGTCCCACGTCTCCTCAACCGCATGTTTGATAAGGTCAGACTAAGTACTCAGAATTGAAACCTTATTTGTTACTTAACCACTTAAAGTGCCTGCTAGTTACATACGTACCGGCAACATACACAAATACGTACCGTAAATGCTTTTTTCTGAACATGGTTGGTTAAAAAAAATAAAAAATACAGTAGTCTACCAGGAAAAATTGACTATCTTCATCTTCCTCCTGCGCACTAAAACCACTAAAGTCGTCTTCTTCAGTGTCGGAATTGAACAGCCTCAGAATTACTTCGTTGCACACTTCCTCAGACTCTCTTTCGTTGTCGCTCTCAATGTCACTTACGTCTTGAGGCAAATTGGTAAAAATCCATAAATTAGCCGCATCATTGTTTAAGCCGCAGTGTTCAAAGCGTGTGAAAAAAGTAGTGGCTTATAGTCCGGAAATTACCGTAGTGTTAGTGTTTAATAGAAATTCTGGTGATTCTCTGTAGAGGACTAATTGCGGTTTTCTCATTTCTCTCCAGGTATTTGGTCAAGCCAACACACCGCTGAAAAGATGGCTGCTCGATTTTGCCTTCCGGAGGAAAGAGGCAGAGATGAAAAATGGAGTCGTCAGAAAAGACAGCATGTGGGACAAACTCATCTTCAAAAAAGTGCAGGTAAGCATGACATGTTTATTAAAGCATTCTATCTTCTCTACTAAGTTTAAAGAAATTCAAAAAAGTTGCTTTAAAAAAATCTTTCAATGAGGTTCAGTCCTTTTAGCGGGTACAGAGATGACCAGAGGGGAGGAGGAGACACTAGATAAATGTTAGAATAATTCTATGTCATGATTCAGTGATCTTTGTATCTAAGTATGAGAATGCTGTAAATGTCCATTGCTTCTATTTCACCTTGTGAGTGTGAGATAAGGACCAGACGTCCTTAGCGGGTAGTCAAAACACCATGCCTACACACACATTTGCGGGAGGTTGCCTTCTGTTTTCTGTATATAAGAACCAATGCATCATGCTTTTAGTCAGTCACTTGTTCAGACTCTGTGCTGTACATGTTGCTCCTTGCTGCAAGTAAAACTTTGCTCTGACTGACGACTCTGTGTATTGATTTGGAGCAGTTAGGACTCCACTGAAGAATTTTCCTAACAATAAACATCCTCAAAACAGTTCCTCACAATCATTACTGTAGATGAATCTGGAGAGGGTTTGGTGAACTTGATGGATAAGGAACAGTTTTGGTGTGATATTTAGACCTTCTTATTTGTTTCTCCCATTCCAGGCGAGTCTGGGCGGTCGTGTGAGACTTATGATTACAGGAGCAGCTCCGGTGTCTCCGACCATCCTGACTTTCCTACGAGCTGCTCTCGGCTGTCAGGTGAGCCACACACAGATCGTTATTAACAACTGAGACAGTTAGTTTTTAAATCTAATATTGCTCATAACATCTATCCTTCCCACAGTTTTATGAAGGCTACGGCCAGACTGAATGCACAGCTGGGTGCTCAATGTCGATGCCTGGGGACTGGACAGCAGGTAAAAGTCGAACCTTCCACTAAACGTTGCTGCTCTTGAGTGGCCTCAGTGATGATTTGAACCACGAAGCTAAACTGACTAATTTTCATCCTCAGGTCACGTCGGACCTCCTCTGCCCTGCAATTCTATTAAACTGGTGGATGTGGCCGAAATGAATTACCTGGCTGCCAATGGAGAGGGAGAGGTGAGCAGGGTGTTTAGTTATCAAGTAGACACTGTTAGATGAGATCAATTTATTTATTTGCTCTGACTTTTTACACAATACACAGAATTTGTTTTTCCAACACATCTTCTCAAGATGTCAAAACCAACAATGAATTTATCCTGCTAACTGTCTGTCCAGAGGGGTTCTGACAACATAAAAGCTTGATTACTGCAGGACTTAGTTCAGTCCAAAAACAATTAAAAGCTTATTTTAAAAAAAAGGCACATAGTTGTACAGACATACTTCTTTTGTTCATTACAGATAACACAGCCAGTGTACTTTACACTGAAACTGAAAGATTTAGGGCCTCGGTGTCCATCAAACTGAAAGTGCTTGTTGCATCATTTGAAAACCTGTTTCCCATCTGATCAGGGTGTCCTGCTCCTTTCAGACTCCTTCCATAAACTTAATTCTTTTCTTCACACGACCAATTTGACGCTTGTCACATGTACCAACCATTATCCAATGCCAGGAAAGCCTTTAAGGAGAGACCAACTAAAGAGTGCCCTGTTTTTTAAAAAATCATTGTTAGCAACATATATTGGATGGGAGCAAGAAACTATTTGTAATAATTCTGTGTGTGAATGGAAAACGAATGGAAATGTAGAGGACAACAGGCAGGGTAAATCCTAAAACATGTAAAAGCTAAAAGGGTTCCATTCTAGTAATTTAACAACTAAAAATAATGTCTATGTGCTGGAAGGTTAAAGCAACTAATCTCTGTCCCTTTAGGTGTGTGTCAAAGGACCAAATGTATTCCGGGGATACCTGAAAGACCCTGAGAAAACAGCTGAGGCGATCGACATGGATGGATGGCTGCACACAGGGGACATTGGGAAATGGCTTCCAGTAAGCACAACAGGATAAATGGCAAATACTGACCCAAAACTGATTGTTATTAGACTTAAATTGCTCTTTTTTTTCTTTTTTTTTATTTTATTGCAGAATGGAACTCTGAAGATTGTTGACAGAAAGAAGCACATTTTCAAGCTGGCACAAGGAGAGTACATTGCCCCGGAGAAAATAGAAACCATCTATAATCGCAGCGACCCAGTAGCCCAGATATTTGTTCATGGTGATAGCTTACAGGTCAGTGATTAATTCATCTATCACAAATTTGTGTTATGGAACCTATTCCACGCAAATTCTGCAAACAGGTTGTAGCATTTGATGTTCATCTTTTCCATGTTGTGTTTTAAAGGCTTGCCTGGTGGGGATTGTTGTACCCGATCCAGACTTTTTACCTATTTGGGCCAAGAAAAAGGGGCTTGAAGGATCCTACTCTGAGCTGTGTAATAACAAGGTTGGATTTATCATTATCAGCAATCTTGAACACACGGTTCAGCTCTCTACAGCTGCCTAACAGTTTTTCCTGACTGCTTGTTTAGGATGTGAAGAAAGCTATTCTGGAGGACATCCTGAATTTGGGCAAAGAATCAGGACTCAAGTCTTTTGAACAGGTGACTTTTGCGTGTTCCACTTTATCACAATACCACCAAGTTTTTGTTCTTTGAATGCAACAATATATTTACTTCAGGACTAAATTGCATTGTCATTTCTGAATATGCTGCTTTTCTATGTAGAATTTGAAGTAAACTCAATTTTCAAGGTGCAATTTTTAACTTTGGTAGCCATTTTTCTCTGTTTTCAGACAATTTATGAACAAAGCGACTATTCAAGCAAATACTCAACATACTAATTAACTGGTAATTGCAGCGCTACTTGTGATATTACAATAATTCTTTTCCCTGTCATTCTTTTTTGTCCTTCTCCCCACTGCAGGTGAGAGATATCGCGTTACATCCCGAGATGTTTTCTGTCCAGAACGGTCTGCTGACTCCCACCCTGAAGGCCAAGAGGGCTGAACTTCGGAGCTGCTTCAGAGAACAGATTGATAAACTTTATGCCGGAATTAAGATTTGAGCTGGGATTTAGGACTACAATAGGGATGGTGACAGTGATTTAAAGCACACAGCCAGAACCAAAACACTTGAGGGGATTTTCCTCACGTTTTCTGCCAGTGAAAACCTGAACAATTTTGTGGGGATTAGCTTCAAACAAATTAGATGATGACTCTTGGGTTTAAGTATGGATTATCCCCACTTTTATTAGTAACTGTACAGCTACTTTTTCCCTGCCAACACTGGCTGATTAGTGAAGAATATCCCACAGCATGTCATCGTGTTACTGGTATCATTTATCCATGAATCAGGGTGAAAAATCACAAAGGAAGAATTGTGACTTGCTCATGCCTTTACTGCCATTAAGTCTGACAGTTTCATGGTCAGAAGACTTGAGCTCCTGCAAACATTTCAGCTAGTTTTTTTGGTTTTTTCCTTGGGAGCAACAGGAAGAAAATCCTGTAGAAATGCTTTACAGCAGTGACAAATATTGACTATTTATATACCAGGATATTTAAATGTTTTGGTAATCTATTTAAGTTGATATTTAATGTAATCATGAAACATGTAAATAGTGTATCTGCTGGAGAAGTATATTTGTATGCAGAGTTTGCCTGATACTCTGTAGATGTAATTCCCTGCATTCCCATGTTTCTCAGTGCTGCAGGCTAAAGGACTGACTGGATAAACCTGTTTCCGTGCAGAATTTAGTTAGAGCCCGTTGGGAATCGTGTTGCTTGACAGATTTTGTGTTTGTTGTGTTTTTTTCTTTTTTGATTGTTTTCTTTTAAACACTGCATGTAAAATATTGAATGTTGCTATAGCGTACGTGTAGTGCCTCCTTTTAAAAGCTCTTTCATATTTCAGTGCCACAGGCAGCAGGGTAAAACTAAACAACTGTCATTTCTAAATTGCACAAGTATTTGGGGTAAATTTGTTGTAGCGCTGGTATAACAAAAATAATTTTAACAGTTTTTTTTTTTTTATTAACAATTTTGATGCTAAAAAATTCCATTTCCTTGTCAGCATTTCACATCAACTTTTCACCAACAGTCTTCATTTCAGCTGTTTCACAAAAAAGGTTTGTTGTGAATTCAGGTGATTTGACTGAACGATGATCATCACGCACATCTAATCATGTTCAGGACGCTTTGGCAGTACAAGTTGTTCTTGTTGTTTTTTGTTTTTTTTTTATGACTTCTATATGAAAAGGGCAAAGGTGCAGTTTTGTGCTACAATTAAAAGTATTGGGTCTTTGTTAACTGTACCAAATATATTCTTTCTTCAAAACTATTTTGTGTTTGTCTTTTCTAAAGACACAAGCATATTTATCTCTAAAAAGCAGAAACTTATGTTTGTGCTCTGTGACTGTCAATAAAGTGCCATGATATGTAGCTAATTATCATTCAAACAGTATTAAAACATTTATTAGGTAGTTTAAGCCACACTATGTATATTGTAAGCAGCTACTGTATATACTTTAGCTAACTTTTAATTAAATTGTAATTTGTATTGTTTATGCACCAGGATGTCCTCAAAAAGAGTTACTCATTGACAAATGCATTAATAGCCACCTATTTAATTATTAGCTTAGAGTGTGTTATAAACCATTTATTACATGTTTTTGTACTCTATAAAACGCTAAATAGGATGTAATTAAGTCTTACCGGTATATTTGATGCTGTGCTGCAAAATAGCACAAACCTTATCCTCTACTGGGAATCAAAATCTGCCATACACGTGAGCAGCAGCTGGTCTGAGATCTCGCCGCCATTTTGTTCAAAGTCATCAAGACTCTTTGAGTAGTCCTGGTCATCCCGTTCATTTCCCCACAAATCAGGAGTCTCTTCCACTGGACGCACCGTGCTCTGGTGGGCCTGGTTTGGTATCTGGCTGGGTTCAATGTTGCCAGCATCGTCCATTAAGTACACCTGGTCCTCCTCATCCTGTCAGTGAACAGAAGATGCAGTCACTTGCTGCTGTGTGAAGAAGAAATGCCAGATTTCCAGACAAATTAACATTAGTCAGTCAGGATGAACTAACCAGTGTTATGATGTAGCTGACACAGATCTCTTGTGGCAGAGGGTAACCTGTAACAGAGACAAACAGGTTGTATTACATCACTGCACAGATTCTTCAAACTGCTTTTAAGTACAAGTTAGTACAGCAGCTCTTTAACATACTTGAGGACCTGAAGTTCCTGCAGTCAGGATCGTGGCACTTCTGGTACCACACCTCCTCTTTCAAATCCACAACAATCCTGGAGAGGATGACACCAAATCAGAAGGATGGACGAGACACACTCACAGCCGTCAGAACGTCAAACATAACTGTACATACATGATGTTGTTGCTTTTGTGAAACCTGCCGACATTTTCACACCAGCGGTATTTGGCTATGTCATAGACGAGAAGTTGTTCTGCAGCGAAGTAGTTCCATCGTCTTATGCCTGTTGAATTTGCATGAGATTGTGAAAATTTGGCAGGCTGACATATACTGCATAACGCACTGTGACAATGGCTGGTGTGGTGGTGTGAGTGTAGACTTTTAGCAACACACAAAATGTGTATAGCAGCATATGGCAACACAAGTCTGGGTGGCAGTTTTAAATAAAACATCAAATAGCACAAGGATTTTGACAAGATCTAATGCTTTAAATATACATTTAATTCAAAAAAGCTGTCATAGGAAGAAGGAATGTTTACTATTTCACGCTATTTTAATAATCACTTCAGTTTTCCATATTCACTGCAGGGACGCATTTAAAATTAAGAAAAATATTTTTTTCGAGAAAGAGAGTCAGTAACATCATGACCCAGTGAACTGTGTGACGATACCATCTCACAGCAGAAATGTGTTTTGTGCCAAACTAAATATGCAAATGTTTTTGAAACTGACACATCTTTTGCAACAGTGTGCTCTGCAACAGCCAAACACTTACTTCCTTGTAGTCCATCCTTTCTAACCACTGTTAATACAAAGGTGTCCACTTCCTGGTGAGGAGACGACAGGCAGCCAGACAGTGCATCTGTCAACAATGGATAAGACTAAGCTTCATTTATCAAAAGTTTTTATCCTGAAAATTATTGTAGTAAAACCAGAGACACTCAGAACATGTGCAAACTGATTTGTAAGTAGTAATGTACAACATGTTTATGCAAGATAATGAGGAAAATCGGCTGTTTGCAGTTCAGTATTACCTGAAGTTGAAGCTGATCCCTGCTGGCAATGAGGCATCGAGGTCTTGGTTTCATTTGTTTCTGGGATGTCCCACGTAAGAACTCTCTGACCTGTGAAACTGATGATACACAGTCGTAACACCTGATGTAGAGGTTTGAAAAATGTATTTTCAGCACAGAGAAAACTGAAGTAAGGGTGTCTAATATACCTCACATTGCACACTAAGGATGCCAGAAAGACGCTTTCCTCTGCAGAACTTCCCTTCTTGGGTTTGGCAATAAACTTATTGTCTTCTGCCACAGTGAATGCAGCATTCTTCCCCGCTTTCGATGATTTGTAAAGTCGGAAATTTCTATTCTTGGTGTAGACACCTGTTAGTGCAAATTGGAACCAAGTATCCACAGGTACATACAAGCATTGATTACAAAAAGATCATGGACAGTAATTAAAGGATAAGTTCAGACTTGTCAGACACTTGTTTGAGTACATTTTTTGCACATGCGTATTGTTCCCCACCACTTATACTGAAAGAACAAGAAGGACTCTTTTACAGAATGATTAAAGAAAGCCAAACTTTTTTTAATGTTAAGGGCTATTATTTTGCTATATGGTTCTTTGCTATAGGTTCTGGTTCCTCTTACCAAGATCAACAAAGAGACAGTCTTTGCCATCCTTGTTTTTCACCTGGAGGAAGCTGAGGTCTCTCTCTTCCTGCTTACGCCTCTTCGTCTGTGGACTCTCGGTCATCCCACCTGCCTTTGCTGGTTTCCCCTCAGATACTGCAAGTGTTCCACTGTCAAGACATCGTTTAGAAAATTTACACAAAGTGGTTATAGTGGGGAAATAAAAAGATTTTTTTTCAGAAGTCTGAAAAACAAACCCTGTTTGTTTGTTGTCTGCTGTTGGATTAATCCCATCATCCACACAACTTCCACCTTTGGCTTTGTTCAGGACAGGTTGAAGAATTGCATGGATAAACCTACCTGAAATCCAAAAATGAGACAGAATCTATGAATAATTTGCATATGCAAAAAACATTTTGCTGCTTCCATTTATTGCTGAACATACCAACATGTATGTTGTCTTTGAAAGCTGCATTTTGGAGACTGAAGATAAGATGTCGACTGAATTTATCTTCTGTGCTGGAGTCCAGATTGAGGATATTTTTCGCAGAACATTCAATGCCATAAACTTCCATTAGCTTTTCACACACATACTGTCAACACACAAAGCACAGACGGGTAAATGTATTAAATATTCTGCATCTTTAGGGTTATAAAGTAACACCTTAAACTACACACTATCTATGCAGATGTTTAGCAAGATTCTAGTCTCGTGAAGCAAATTTAAACCACCGCTTTTCATTTGTAGCTTTTTTTTATATTTAACATGATTTGCTACTTCAGTAATCATCTTCTGCTCATCTAAATCAATGATGAATCAACAGTGACCCAAACTCAAATGCTCTTTTATTATTGCAGCAACAATAACAAAATACTTCTATTGTGGAAGAAAACTGCTCTTCTAGCCAGACCTGAATCAGCAGACAACATCCACATTTCGGAAAAACTGAATGCATGAATCTACCTGAACAAATTCAGATAGAACTATTTCCTGCTATTGTTAGATGTACGTGAGGCAAGCTGCTCAGTAAAAATATATTCCCAGTTACATTTTTCACATTAAACTGTGAATGAGAAAATAAAAATGTACCCTACCTGGATAAACAAAGACACCATATTTTTCCCATCTGATCCTTTGTTTGAAGGCTTGTGAAACTCCAAGTCAAAATAAAGCTTACAGACAGCACCCTCTGGAATCACCTCGTAGCAGTGCATCAAGGACTGAGTGTAAGTCCTGAACATTTTTTTGAGATAAATCGTCATCAATGGATGTCATCACGAAAGAAGATGCACTTCTACAAATGCAGAACTGACACTTACCTGTAATAATGCCACAGCTCACTGTAACTGGTAACCAGGTAGATCCTTTGACCCATGGAAGTCTTTTCTTTCTCAAGTGCAAAAACATGTACAGCCTAGAAAACACACAAATGTCAGCAGTCCTTCTTTTACATAAAAAAATATAAAACCTAAAGTACAAATTGATGAGCTATTGCAGCATCTCTTGTACCTCTTTGCAGCTCTGAGCAAAGCTGATAGCCAGACTCTGACGGGGGAAAAGTTTCCAGATGGAGGAAGGCTGACACGGCCACAGTCGAGGTTTGTAGCGCGTCGTCAGAGGATTCAGCTGGAAGGACTGAGCAAGCTGCTCAACCTTCTTCAGTCGGTCTCCCCACTTGCTCATTCTCAAATGCTTATCAATCTCATATGACACCTTTTATAACACCCGCAGTTATTTGCGAAGACACTTCAGCTGTCAGCTGAGTGGATGCTTGATCAGTGGTTATCCCATTGTCCTTCCACCTGATAAAAACCTGCAGAATAGAATTAAATACATTAAATTAAAATCAGCTGTATGAAATTAAATTTCTCTGTTTCAAGAGAACCTGAACATTTCACCACTCATGAGAGCAGGATCCATTCTAAGACTGTTGTATGAGACTGCATTAGTTTTAGTTGCATGTTCCTAAACCTGAGTGCATGTTCAGTACATGAAATATCATTTGTGTCTTTTTGATGACATAACATTGTCAAGGGCCTGTCATAAAGCATATTTGTATTGGTAGTTCTACATAAAGAAGTATTCAGGTCATTTACTGAAAGGAAGAAAGTCAGTCTTGGTTACTGTTTTTTGCTAAATATCTCAAATTACAAATTTATTTCAAGCTGATTTAAACTATATCAGTTAAAAATATGTTACCTTCCCAAATTCCTGAGCTCTGGCCAGAAGCCATTAACTGCTACAAAAGTCTCTGTCATGGTGATCTCTTACTATCTAAACCCCCACAATGCCTGCAAACACAAACTCCCCATAGTCCAAATAAACAACTCCTCCAGTCACTAGAGTATTAAACACAAACTGTAGTCTTCCACCTGATTAAACAGCAAAACCAGGTACTATAGCCAATGGACAAAACATTCTCTGACATAAACTTCCTATGTTTTTTGCCCTATTGGTAAATATATGTTAACCAGTTAAATTCTAAATATGAATTAATCATCTAAAGATGAATCAGTATCACCCCTACTCAACAACAGTGGCAGTACATCTATGATCAGCTAAGTAAATAATAAACTATGGCAACAGAGAGCTATGATAGTCTCTCCAGCCCGCCCTGAATAGAAAAACGACCACTTTTCTCAATAACTTTTATCATTCATTCATTCATTCATTCATCCAGACAGACAGACAGACAGACAGACAGACCTTCACCCTGCCCACCAGCTCCCCATCTTATTCCAGCAGTTGAAAGTTTGGAACCTGTTTTTACGTCAGTGACTTTTGCAGTGCACAGCTTTTACGTGTAATGGAGTAGTTTAACGTAGGAGAAGTACCAGACTACTTCTTCCACCACTGTAACTAACTAGGCTCAACATAGCAGAGCTGAAAATAGTTGTCTCTACATTCATGGCTGAGGTAACTCAGTTAGCATTAGCTTTAACGTTAGCTAATGCGGCGCTATTACAACTAATAGAATTCACACATGCCTATGTTCAGTGGTAACAGTTCGGTGAGCTACATTACCGCTGTGTCTATGTCAAGGAGTCCAGCCAGTCTCTTGTCACTCGACAAAAACTAAAAACAATCTTCGGTCTCTGCGGTTTGTTTTCCTTTTTCGCGCGCCTGGACCCGGAATCAACGTCACTTCCGGTCACGAACCGAAATCGGAGCGGAAAAATATCACCGGTTTAAATTCTACCAGTTTGTAATTTTAGCACGAAATGGTCACAGGGACAATACAATGTCCCTCGGTGACAATAAATAAATAAATAAATAAAAATTCATCCTTTTAACTGGTTTCACTGATTGCGTAGTCCATGGTACCAGCCACATAAGATTAAGACGTACGGTAACTTTTTTTATTATTATTAAACGCCTTTCAACACAAGGAATGAGTATGTTAAAAAAAGAAAAAGGAAAAAAGTGACACTAAAAAAAATGCAGCAAATGCAAGAACAGTAACTACAGGCTTTATAAAAACATTAACAAAAACTAAAAATTATTATTAACTAAGGACCTTGCATACCATACTTGCACAGGGCGTTGCACCCCTTTCATATCACAAATGGATTTGTAAAATGTGTTTTTTCAGGATGTACTGCAGTTTTTCTATGCAACCTGTATTTGAATATATGAAAATCATTCCAGACTCCAAATGCTGACTCTCTCTGAAGCCTGGCACTGCCTGGCTCTAGATAGGGCGGGAGTTTATTCTTACATTAATACTCCCCATGTTCCATGTTTATCTTACTCCTGCTGAGCAGTTACGCATTAAACAGGGCTGTCATTTGGGAGTTACCACTCTGCAAAACTTGAAATCCTGCCAGTTTATACTGTACCAGAAAGGAAGGAAGAAGGAGGGAAATGAGAGGAGGACAGGAAAGGCACATAACCTTGCAGAATAGGAACTATCATTTAGCAAGCCCCTAGAGTATACCTGAGAAAACAACATACACACACCACATACAGCACATAGTCATCAGGTATTCGTGAAGAAAGAATTATTAGGTTCAAAGGATTTTTTTAAAAATTATTTAATATTTTATCTGAGTTTACAAGCTTTTTTTTTTTTTTTTACATTAAAATAATTATTTGTGCATTCCCTCCATACTGAATGCTCATGATTTCTGACCACAGCTGCAAGTAGCAA